AATTTGTGTGACTGGTGGAAATTATAGTTCTGTATCCGATATTCGAACAGCTCTCTTCTCATAAGACTTTGAAATTTTAAGCGGGAAGTTTAGTCCTAACGTGATTTGCATTTATCAAACTTTTGCTGTGTTCTTACGCAACAAAAGTACCATTTCTGTCCAAAAGAATCTATCCAGAGTTAAACGTTCCGTAGATCACTTTTTTTGAGTTTCACCCAATTTAATAGTTAACTGTGGTTTTGCCTCAGCTTACTATTCGATTTTTTTTCAGTTTTTCACGTAAAGACTAGTTCAGTTTATCTCATCCGCTTTATCCATTTTTGTCCGTTTTCAGTGTGTTTTTTTGGTGTTTTTTTTACGGTCTTAGGCTTTTGCTAGCATCCACAACACAGTTTAAGTCAATACAGCCATGAAAACACATGCAAACGACCTGGATGCCGTTTTGCTGTTACATCTGGCATGCAGTGCGACAACTGCAAAGGTTGGTTCCACGAAGCGTGCACAGATCTCACAGCAACTGCTTACAACAGACTCAGCAAGTCGGATCATAAGTGGGAATGTGTTACGTGCAGCACGGATGCTGTAGTCTTGCTGAGTAATATCATTGTCCTACTGACAGGTCTGCAGAGCAAGTTGTCGGCAAACTTGGGAAAAGACAGTCGAAAAATGGGTAGACAAACAAGAGAGCGCATTGAAAACGAGAACAGGGATGTCGACAGGTCTACCAACGACGGAACATGCGACAGCATTATTGATGACACGCTGAAACTCAGCACCATGATTACGACGACGGTACTTGACTCCCTCAGCAAACTCGGGTCTCACAGCTCAAGGTCCTTGAACGCGACGGTGGTTCCCAAAAACTCTGTAATTGATTGGACCCATGTCAAAAGAGCTAAAAAGAGCCAGGCGTCACAGTCTAAGTTGAACATCCCAGCTGTTGAACGGAAGTCAACTGGTGATCTGGTCGCACAGTCTACCCCCAACATTGTCCATCCAGTCATCAAAGAGCCAAGGATTCATGAACATGCTTCGACCCCCAAACAACAAGGTGCTAAACCTGAACGCACCGGAAGACCTGGGACGACAATAACGGTTCGTGATGACTCTCTCATAGTCATGGACTTCAGAGACAACCCTGACCTTCCTCTCAGTTTGCAGGACAAAAATGATAGGATGCTCTGGGGAGGATTGAACAAGAAACTTGGACTTCCAAGAATAAAGCCTTTGGCAGTCACACGGCTCACTCGGGAAAGGAATCTAGGCATCAAAATCACCCGAGGCTACTTCGTGTAACACTTAAGAATGCTACCAACGTAGAGGATGTTTTACTAGCTGGCCACTTACTGAAATCAAATATGAATGTAAGGATACTGCCTGACATACCGTATTCTGAGCGCAATCGCATCCGGAACACCCCCAAAGAAACTCGCGATCAGTTTTTCTGCGGGAGGAATATAATCATGCAAGGTTTACCGGAAAATACGGACCCTACTCAATCAAAGACTGACATCAGGGAATGGAAATTCACCAAACAGTCCTTGAGGCTCAAAAACATACTGACTCAGCATGTGACGAGACTAGCCGAGAAGGACGGTGATTCTAGACTCCGTCTAATGAAGATAACCTTCCCATCTTCCCACATGGCGGCTGCAGTTCTGGAAGCATTTCGTGCTAATAGACGTCGATTGCCACCTGGAATCCACATGCACCCGGATAGGCCATACGAAGTTAGGACCAAGAACAAAGGCAAGTTGGAGCTGACCATTCCACTTGTGGACTGTCTAAACGATAAAAAAACGTGTAAAGGACAGGGCCTACCACCTCGGCAAACCTCACATAGGTGGGCTACCTGTCCATTCACATAAGGTTCATACAGAAAAACAGGACGAAGCTCACGCGTTCCAAATTGAAAGCATAAACTGCTTATATATGAACGCCGCGAGTCTACCAAACAAACTGGATGAACTACGTGAACTTAGCAACGCTAATAAGGCCCATCTGATAGGAATATCTGAAACCTGGATATCTTCTCAGTTCTCGGACCAAGAGTTAGCATTGCCTGGGATGACTTTGTTCCGCAACGACAGAAAAACAGGAATTGGGGGTGGAGTAGCCATATACATAAGCTCTTGCTTGGAGGTGCACCAGGTTCACAACCTCGAGTTTAACAATCTTGAGGAATCCATATGGTGCTCTGTAAGATTGTCTAGTACTTCCAGGTGTCTAGTCGGAGTCATTTACAGGAAGCCAACTGCCGACACCGAGTACGATAGTCGTATGCTGGAAGGACTATCCCGCTCTATCCGTCTCGGTTTCACACACATCCTGATTCTAGGGGACTTTAATCTCCCCAGAGTCAACTTCGCGGAACACACGTACACTGGAGGCGACAACTCAACTGAAGCTCGGTTCTTCAACCTCATCGATAACTTGGGCTAATATGAAAATATGAGGTCGGCAACTCGTTGGAGAAACAGTCAGACACCATCGCGCTTAGACTGTGTATTCACTAACGAAGAATTCCTAGTCGACAACCTCTCAATCCTGGCTCCTCTGGGAAAAAGCGATCATGCCGTCATAGCCTTCAGTTTTCTCAGCAAAACCAAGCTAAGATACACCACCAATAACTTGCGTTGGAATTTTAAACGGTTGAATGTGCCAGCTCTACACGACTATCTACAACAGGTGGTTTGGGATGTTCACCCCCAACTCGACGTGGACGGTCATTGGGACTTCTTACCGCACACGCTCTTACGTGCTACAAACCATTCAGTTCTTCAAACGGTTCCCAAAAGCTGCAAGCCACCTACAATAATAAAGAACCGTACCCTTCGCCTGCTAAGCCGCAAAAGGCACTGTTGGGCGGAATACAAACGAACTAATAACGATGGAGCGTATAGGCAATATAAACATATCAGGAACAAAGTTTATGGACAAATTTGCCTCTAATCCTAAAGGCTTATTCCGTTATACAGCCTCTCTTCGTCAAGCCAAAACAGGAGTTTCCCAACTGGTAGGTCTTAACGGCCCGACCAACAACGATGGCGACGCCGCTAACCTTCTGGCTGAATATTACTCCCAGACATTCCAACCGACTGACATTAACTTTACTGATGACAGTTTCGTTTGGAATTCCACAGAACTTTTCGAAGTGAACCTAAGCGCTGACTTGGTGTTCCAGAAACTGCAGCACTTGAGATTAGACACTTCTCCTGGCCCGGACATGGTCCATTCCGCCATACTGAAAGAAGCAGCCTCAATCTTGGCAACGCCGCTTAGCTTGATGTTCTCACACTCGCTAAATCGAGGAAAACTACCGGAAAATTGAAGGCTGGCTCATATCACACCAATTTTCAAAGGAGGTCGACGCAGCGAATCTACAAGTTACCGACCGGTTGCTCTTCTCTCCGTACCCTCAAAAATCATGGAGTCCTTGATATGCGATGGTGTAAATGACTATTTACTGTCCTTAAATTTCTTCTCACCCCAACAGCATGGTTTCAGGAAGGGTTACTGTTGTATTACCAAGCTGCTGACTGCGGTGGACAGATGCACAAGCATCCTTGATTACAAGGGGAAGGTTGATGTCATCTACCTAGATTTCTCAAAAGCTTTTGATAAGGTAACCATACATGTCTTGTCAGTAAGCTTAAACGATTGGGTATCAGACCACCTCCAATCGATTGGCTCACTTGATACCTGAAAAATCGACATTTTAAGGTCAGGGTTAGTTTCACTTTATCTCAGGCTATGGAATGTCCTAGTGGGGTCCCCCAGGGTTCAGTACTAGGGCCTCTTCTTTTCTTGATCTACATAAATGATCTTCCTCAACAGGTATCGTCAGACTTATTACTTTTTGCCGACGACGTGAAACTTTGGAGAGAGATACGCAACCAAGACGATATACAGGCACTTCAGGAGGATCTGACTCGACTCCGAATTTGGGCAGACGATAACGGACTTACCTTTAACACTTCAAAGTGTAAAGTAGTCCATCTGCGACATGTCGCAGACTACAGTTATAACTTAGGTAACTCCTCTCTAGTAGTATCCCAAATCGAAAAAGATTTAGGAGTCCTAGTGCCCTACGATTTAAAGTCTTACGCTAACTGTGACAAAAATGCCTCACGAGCAAACCTTGCACTGGTAACATTGAAGCACATTTTTGGCCAGTTTGACGGAAGAACTCTCCATATAATCTTCAATAGTTTTATCCGTCCTCATTTAGAGTACGGAAACGTAGTATTTCCCCCCTCATTCCAAAAGGACAAGGACACCCTGGAGCGTATCCAACGGCGAGCCACGAAATCAGTTCGAGGAATCAAATTTAAACCTTACGAAGAGCGCCTCCATTCTTTTAACCTTTACCCATTAGAGTATAGACGTCTTAGAGGTGACGTTCTGATGGCTTATAGTATCCTTAACACTTCTGGACATCCTCTCAAACACCTACTTAAGCTTAGTTCCAACACTAACCTAAAAGGTAACACCCAGAAACTGGAGACACAACATAGCAGAACGGACTGTAGACACAACTTCTACTCCTTAAGAGTCGTCAAATTCTAGAATTCTCTGCCGGCCGAGCTAGTCCAAGCGACTTCCCAGGAGTCCTTTAAGAGGCAACTTGATCTATTCTTAAGGACTAAGGATAGTATCACACTATGATTTACTAATTTCTTTCAATCTTTTATTGTCAACATACCTAGGTTCCTGCCTGGAGGATTTTGTGATCACCTGCTACTAGACACGGAAGCCTGTTAAGCGAAAGCTTCTTCTATTCCGTCCACAACCATTTGAATCATTCAAGTGCTTTCTTTGCAGATTCAGATCCACCATCCCTATCACTATTAGCACCTACAGAAATTCTTAATATATATAGACCACTATCCTAAATCCCATAGTTTGAGAAGGGTAGGAACTAAAAAGTAGCAAGGATCAACAGAAGCTGAGCCTGAAATCGAGAAGCTGAATGTTCAATACTTTGCCCGACAAGCCTTAGTATTACACAGGCGCCTAAATACTGTCCAACGTTACTTAATGTAGATGTAAAGTTAGTTGTGAGTGTCTTGTAGATCGTGGTTGTGATCTTGTTTATTGCTGAAATAGTGTACAGTTTTTCTCGTTCCTATCAATTCTTAACCTTTTTATCGCAAAAGTTGGCTTCTAAGGCTGTTGGAAAAGGGGTATAATATAAACAAACTTGTTTAAGGAACAATTGTTCTGGCATCGCGTCACAGTTGTTCACCACTTGAAACGAATAGCCTACTAATTAGCTAGCAGGCTAAATTCCTTAAGAAAGCCTTTTTGTGATTTGACCGTAAGTGATTAACAATGATGAGAGTAAAAAGACAAGCACTTTTGAACTACTTAGTCAGTCCGTCTGAATCATTTTTGAGCTCTTCGCTGTCAATGTAACTACGTATTAACTCTCACACGTGATTTATATGCGAATAGAGGCACCAAACAGTCCGACTAATCTCGGCAAGTCGTTTACACGTTATAAGAACAACAGGCGACTTAATATAGTACCTTGTGCTACTCATTTTTGTGGTCAGACTATTATTTATGGAAGACCTTTAAGCGACGCTAAAGAGGCCATCAAAATGTCCAGCTACCTATTGCGGCTAAATGAGGGTTATAAACCAGTGTGAGAAGTTAGAATTAATGTTTACAGTTGATAGTTAGGGTTAGGAATTAGATATAGGGTTTTCATAACGAACTGACATAAACTATAATGCCACAACTCTATTTACCCAAATAAATGAATTAATTCCGAGCCAAGATTCAATACCTGTCCCCGTAAATCTGGTTGTTTCGTCCATAAATTAGAGTCTAGCCGTATTGTCTCTCGAAACTCGTGTTGGTTCTGAGTCAGTAAACTTCGTGATTCTACGTGACTAATATGTCCCAAATTATTTTTACTGATATTTTAGTTATCAGGCTTGTTAGAAATGAGTCAGGGCTAGCGATAACATCCTTCAAGTCTCTTAGGGATTGGGTTTGAGAAAGACATGTTACAGTAGTATGTCCAATTTTACTTTATTTCCCTCTAAGTCCTATACTCATTGTCCTATACCTTCGTACGTTAGGCTAATATTCCTCAACTTCGACTTCGATTCAGCGGATATGATTACTTCGGCCCTCTTCCCGGCCATGCTAACTGAAATGAAGAGATCAGTTTAGTAGTGAAATCTTTGTTGATGATGACTTCTCTACAATTGATTGCATATCAATTGCAATGTTTAGAATGTATGAACTACGTATTTACTACCTAGCACAAATCATAATAAGAATGCACTAAAGGTCCATAGGTGGAGTTCATACTGAACAAATTAATGTGACGAAAATTTATCTTAATCGGTGTTGAATTCCTTTCTCTTGATTTGTATTCGGGGGCTGCACATGGACACCAGTGCTATTCCATACCTTCCATTCATTAGTTTCCTTTCTTTTATCTTTGAGTTACATTACTTTTACCTTAATTTCTGTTATTCTTGATGTTCTTTTTACTTGGTCGTGCGGTTTCATTCGACTGTTTAGTTGAGAAACAATGCTGAATTGACAGCGTTTCACAAATCACCTATAACAATAATGATGAAATAAAGGTAATCCTGGTTAAGTGGTCTACTGAAGTTTTCTGTTTTTTTGTTCACTGATTTAACTGTTCTGAGTGATCAAATTGAACAAACAACCGCAACTTCGGCCTTTCGTGAAAGTTTTACCTCTATTTTATGTAGTGCTCTCAAAATTAATGGTTATATATTCATCATATGCATAGGCTATTTTATATTTCTAACAGTCGTCAGTTAGATTGTATTCACATTATATTTTATAAGTGGAAAAATAGTTTCACTGACATTCATTCACAATCTTAACTTTAATTTAAGTATATGCCTTGATTACCACTCATTTGTTGACAACTTGGTTTATACATTCTCTTTATTATTATTTACAACTTCACCTTGTTTTTCTTTCTTATGATTTCATTTTCAACATATCAAACATCATTTTTATAGTCATGTTAACTATGTTGTCCCCTCTTGTTTCCTGTTTCATTTCGAACCAAACTTAATTGATGATAGTATGTAATAAAAGGATTTTTTAATGATGATATTACTAGTGTAAATTTAGGCTGTTTGTAGCTGATAAGAAGCTTTGGAGTATAATGACTTCATATTATTATACAAATCGTGTTTTTGCTTTATTTTTCTATTTTCACCGAAAATCAGTTATGTTGACCTTGAGGTTTTTCCTCCATATGAGTGTTATCAGTCAGTCAGTCAGTCAGCCACAACGTAGGACCAGACACATATATGCATCGGTCCAAGTTGCCATACCTCATTAACACAACAAGATGGACACCGGATTCATATAAGTGGTTAATTCAGAGGTGGTAATATATAAAAGAGGCATTGCAATAAGGATATAGTACAGGAAGAAAGAATTAGTTCTTAGAAAGAAAGATATGAAGCGATTTTAATCTCTTAGTTTAAGGGAAGACAGGGAGTGTATACACCGACGCCATTGTGATCGATTCTGAGCCATGTCACCAAGAGTCTCCAACCATTGGTTACAATAGTCACGCGGACCCCAACCAAGTAGTCTGCATCTACCAACATGGCTCAGACTAGAAGTTAGTGACTTCAAGCACTGATGCCACGTTTTGGTTTGGCCGCCCCTAACTTTCTTCCAACCATCTCCAATACCGGATAGCAATGCACGTCGTGGTAATCGGTATTCAGGCATACGTAACACGTGACCCAACCATCTCAGTCGATGAAGAGTGTGTTATAGATCTGAAGTTTTAAGTAGATGGAAATACGCCAACTTTGTTCCTTTGATAGTAAGTGCATGGTTTCCAACATTCTTTCTCAAACCTAATCGTTATTTTTAGCCTGTTTGTTGCATTTTTACAGTTCTGTACATTTTAAGTATGGAGGCCGATCAATATAATGGGAAGACTGTACTTGTTATTAACCATACACACATGGTTAGCTGTTTCGCCGGAGATGAATTAAACTTGGATGCCGGAGTTAAATTTGTAAACACAAAAGTGATATTTCAGAAGTCAATTTGGAGCAACCTTGTTGAAGCCGTTATACAGTACTGTCGTGTTGTATTTGATATATTTTCTACCGAAAAACCTGTAAGTTTCTCTAGATAACGCAATAATTTATCAAGATATCTATAGTAACCTTTGATGATGAGGAAAAGATTCACTCCATATGGCTAAATGAGGATCAAAATTTGGATACAGTAAGTACATTTAACCTTAATTCACAATATAATAAGATATGGAACATATTTTCTCAGGAAGGTCCACCGAAGATCTCTTCACTCAATTTTCTTGAACGTGGTTTACTTCCAGGTTTATCTTCAGCCTCTCATCTCTTACAAATGCTAACGCCACGTCAGAAGGAAATTAATTCTGGCGAGAACAAAGGCAGAGTAGTTGTCTTAAGCATGTCTATGGGGTAATAACTTTATTAGTTAAATTTACGATTTCATCATAGTAATAAAGTTTTGTCTTGGATTCCGGATATTTTATCGTCTTTAGAGAAGCCTATCGACACACCCGAGTAAGTTTCTATACTGTTTGTTTTGTGTGAATACCGTTCTACTCCGTACAGTTGTGGATAGAATCAGACAGCTTAAAAGCGTGCACAAAGTACATCAGTTTAATTGGCTATCATGCAACGGCATATGTACGAAAAACAAAGAGACGTGTTATAACGCTAGGAAGTAGATACATTGAGAATTGAAAATAAAAACAATTCGTTGATTACTTTATTTTATTTCAAATAACATGTCGAGGAAGTGTATGTAACACTTAACAGCTATCTAAATCTTCAGTTACCAACTTCCAATTTTCTTCTAGGAATTTGTGAATGATGTCAGCATTATTCATTAATTGGTCTCACCATGCATGAGTAATGTTTTGAAGACATATAAAATCACGTCCTTAAATTCACGCATTTTTTCTACCGTCAGCAGTTTTATTTCATTGTTGGATTATAAGACATCTTTAATTACTAAAATTACCGTCGTTCATTAATTAGCAGCCAGTTATTTTACAATTACCATTAGTAGCATAGGTTTTTAGCTGTCAAATCGGTATCATTTCTCTCTGTCGAGATTTTGTCGGCATCTCGTTCACTAAAAATGCCGCAATTTCACTGTATGATTTCAAACTTTGTGCAAATCAGTCATGAACAATTTCCATGCATTTGAAAAGTCTTAAATCCATGTAAAATATTCAGCTTCATAGTTTCAGTGCTTCACCTGACAGAACTGTCTTCTTCTTGAATTGATTTAGTCCAGAAAATCCGAGGCACTTAACCAGTTTAAAAAAGCCTATCGTTAAGTGGAGGCACATGTGTCAGTCAAACATGACTGAGGATATAAGAGACACTTATCATGTTACAATCGTTTTAATATCAGATGACAATTATCTAATAGCAATTCGTTGACTTAGTAGGTTTATACTAACTACATTTGTATTAGACTAATACTCAGACACTCGATCTATGACGTTAACTGCCGCTTCCAATCCAAGTAGCTTGGTCAGCGTAGATTTACAGTAATATGTATGTACTGCACGAATGAATGAATGTTGGGAATTTTATTATAGAACTTCCATTCAGGCCCGTGTCTGTGCTTTCTATTTTGGGTCTCTAGACACAGATACAAATGAATTGAATTATTCATTCCGTTTCTTTTGAATGACAATAACTCACGGTATTAGAATATTCATAAAATAGCAGTTTTGTACTTTAATATTTATGATCGAATTATTGGTCACAGTCAAACTATAAGAACCAGGAAAAATGTACATTAGTCTAGGCTACCATACCATCAGCTCAGAGAGGTGACATTAACAAGATAAATAGCAATAGAGCAACAGTATCAATCATAGCGATCAAAGATCAAAGGATATGGATTGAAAAGAATGAGTGAATTAGTGGAATAAAATTGTGGAATAGTGTTAAAACTACAATCTGGAGGAATGTAAAGAATGAATGCATTTATTACATTGCAACAGATTTTTAGCCATGTCACCTTTTTTCTCTATACACTGGTCACGATAATTAAGAAGGTCAATTAGGTAATTTGCAGCTGACTTGATGAACTAATATCACATCTTGTTTTAGTCGAACCTAGTTTTATTCCATCTTCGATTGCACCATTCGGGAGTAAACTTTGGTACTAGTAATATACCAGGTATGGATGTATGTACTTACTTGTAAGCTACACTGTCTAAAGGTTAGTGATGTTATCCAGATGGAAGTAGGTATATCGAAATTCGGACTAAGAGTATCGATTGGTCTAACCAATAAACCGCTATTCCACATCAAATTATCAAGTAGCTAAAAATTTTAGTTTCTTATGGTTTTTATTTCCTAGGATAAGATTACATTCGAACGATTTCCTACTTTTTATTGATTCTGCCGACAAAATATTTCTTTCACCTAGATCACTTTATTCTTGTTGATTTTTTCTAGTCATATGGATGTTACTTCAAGTGAATGGGTTTTTGTTGACCTGTTTCCAGCTTCTGAATTTTCAGCAGATCTAAATGGACTATACCCTGAGCAATTAGAGGTTTGTTTATCATTGTTTCGATAGAACAATGAGAAGACGGAGTTGATCTGAAAAATGTGATGTATTAGCGCTATACATTTCGAACAATCTGGTCACACATATACTTGTCAGGGCATTTTTACATGAAAATTAATAAAGGTCAAACAAATAAAAGTACAATTAAAATAACTAAGGGGAGAGAAAGAATAAGAAATTGTCGCGTTATCCAAGGTACATTCAAGGTAATCCTTAAGTCATTCTATGGCCTAGGATAACGCGACAATTTCTTATTCTTTCTCTCCCCTTAGTTATTTTAATTGTACTTTTATTTGTTTGACCTTTATTAATTTTCATATAAAAATGCCCTGACAAGTATATGTGTGACCAGATTGTTCGAAATGTATAGCGCTAATACATCACATTTTTCAGATCAACTCCGTCTTCTCATTGTTCTATCATTGTTTCATAAGAAATTTTATAGCAAAAGATGCAAGTTAGAAGGGAATGAAAAGTTTAGGTGGTAATGGGGATAAATTTTGATGAGATTCCGCGACCTATAAAGTTAGCCGTCTAATGTAAAACAGTAACTCATCAGTGTATTTAAATATAAGTCATCCTTAATCAAGAACGAATTAAAATTTGTTATGGTAACCATCTATTTTCTATTCAATGGTTTACGGGCACTATACTTTCTACAAGACTATAAGTTCTTAAATTTGATACCGTACGGGTTCATGAGTGCTACTGTATGGTACTCAGTACTTTTTAATAGTACTCCAACTGATGTCAATCAATAATAAACATCTTCAAAATGCGCAGAAATTTCCGTAGATCATTTATCGTGGTAGTGGAGTAATAGTTTTTAATGTTTACTTATCATTTTTCAATAAATATTTTCCCGATAATGACCAATAATGTAGTTCATATATTGTCAAAGCATCCGTTTTTCAACGGACATTAATCTATTCAGTACTAGATACCAAATACGGGGAAGTACAAACTCTAAACAGGAAGTGAGACTTTCAATAAACATATACGCTTTATCAACTGAATCAATCAGTATAATATTAAGTGGAAAACCTGAATTAATCGAAACTACTACTTTGAATAAGCAAACAATTCCATAGGTTACTCTTAAACAGATAGTTACATTTGAGAAGATCGTCTAAAGTCTAGTATCAGCATATCGTTGAATGAATTTTGAATATACTTCAAAATTCATGGTCGTAGTTATTCAAAAGAATACCAAACTTAGTCTGTTCCGAAATCTATTATTATCTATAATTAATACTTTCATTCATGTTAAAAAATCGAAAAAAGTAAGCTGTCGCGGTTTCTCTATTAGATAAAACTGTTGTTATTGTTTTCTTGGCTATTTTTGGTTTGCTAATATAAAGTTATTTGTATAGTTAATTACATAGTATTTAATAAAAAAAATAATTCGTAGACACGATGTTACAAAAACATAGATTCCAGCATATATTTGACATAGAAATAGTGATTTCGAAGAAAATATTTGGTTAAATGCACTTATTCAGGTAAATTTTTCATCAGCTTCTAGTTTCTATCCTATGTCTGCTTATACAACAAACTATAGCGCTACCATCAGTCACCAGTGACTTCAGTCTTAAGCGAGATTGTAAGGTGTCTCAAGTTACACTGATTTTTATGATTGCTTGATCTTTAGCTAGTTCGTTATAAGAGGTACTTGTAACAACCATCCTTCATTTCACGTATCACATATCAAGGTATTAAGCTTTGTTTAATTTTTTAGAGCTTATCTTAATATATTTATACTTTGGTTATTGGTAGTAGTGTATAACCGGCTGAATAATTTCTTCAATTTTTCTGAAACCGATTTGAATTCCTGGTGAAAATTACTTGTGCGATATAAATGTACCTAACTGTGTTTACTAGTAATATCTAGTTAGAAGTTGTAATATGCGAGGTGAGGTATAAACTGGCTGGTGACTTTTGATAATACGGATGGCGTTATATCAAAACTTGACTGACTTTGAAAATATGAAGCTTATAGTTCCAGCCTATTGGTTTAAAGACATCATACTCGCAGCCAACACCGAATTTCCTTTGTCCAATCCTATGTAGAGTTGTGGGCGTGTACGTTTGACGAGTTACAGACTAAATTAAAATTATTTTTCGCTGTTTTCAGGAGTTCTCCAGTCGACAACTCTCAACTTATGTAACATTTATGATAACTAGTGATATGTGGTGTGTAGTAGTTTGGTTTGAATCCGATGCTTTGTGTTGTGCTGCATCAAAGTGACTTGTGTTATTCTTTTTAGATTTATATCACTTGTATCTGATTACGACGCAAAATACAGATTTACTCTACATTGAATTGCGGCGGTTTGGTGATTTTTATGTTAGGTGAGATTGCTAAATTTGGTTTCCGTAGTTTGAGTGAAGTAATTTTGGTTATTTTTAATATTTATTTTGTTCACTTCATTTTTAGCTACCTAATAATATAGGTCCGAATGCCCGACATCGTTTTTTCTATCATAAACTTCTAGCTACCAGCCATGAGTTGTATCAGGGTTTAATGCGTCTTGCAGAATGTCATTACAATCTTTCAAGTACACTTGTTCAAGATATTCCCATGAAGGAGGAAGCTAATGTTAATTCTGGTAGTTCAATGTATGGCGTCGAAATTCTGCATCGAGCTGAGGTACACGACATGTTAAAACGTCGGGGTATTTACGAGAAATTATTAGTACGTACAGATAGTGAAAACAATAAGTCCATATCACGACCACACTCTGGATTTTCGAAAACTTTGGGCATAAAATGGGTTACGCCGAAGACCTCGGATACTAGTGAGTGAAGTAGTTTTATTCCACAACGTTATAAGCTATGTATAGTGATATTTTAGTCTTTATGTTTCTTATTCAGTAAAATAAATCATGTAGAACATTACTGATTTCGTATATTACATAAGCTATGTTACATAAGTTATGTCACAGTCTTATCCAGACTTTAGAACGAGACAATTCTTTTGTTTTGTCGCAAGTCTTTCAAATTTAAGATAACTTATATGACAGGCTATACAAGCTACATATACTAGGGTTCAGTCACAGACTTACCTCAAATAATATAGTATAGACTAAATGGGTGATGTATATATGGAAAGAGTATGCATTGATAAAGATAAACAATGTACGTTTTTGACGATGTTGTCTATACGTACAATGAATGCTTCATGGTTAAACCACCTAATTCAGAGCAAACAATTCCAAAATCCTCTCTTTGAGCTACAAACGTTTTTCACCACTTAACGCTTTTTCATAACTTAATATCATTAACTAGCTTTTCTAGGCAACAATTCTAACTATTCTACTTGTATTTCATGAACTACATGCTCACCTAATTACATTTTCTCTAAGTTCGCTTTGCCAATTATTCTACCATTTTTTAATGGGTTTCATGACATCATAAAATTTTATTCAAAAGCAATAACGCATGGTATTTCACCATTATTTTATTTTCTATTACTATGTCCATAAATATTATTAATGTTTTCTTATCATAATTATGGACCAGATTCCGCGTCGAGTATGGTTGACTGACTTTCTTATCGAGAAATGTATGCAGCAACAGACGGCACAACTATTTCGAGAGACAATTTTATTCTAGCTTCAATCTCTGGTTCATCTACTTACATTTAGCTGTTTAAATGTTAGTATTTTTAACTTATGCACATCAAAAGTATCTTTCGAAACTGAGTTTCTGGGTTTGTACTTGGTTACTACGTTACATTTGTTTAACATCAGTTAATTAACTTTTCATAGATTAAGCCGAAATCAAGTTAAATTTCTGGATTCATACTGTATATCTTCTTTTATGTTAGTTCTGTAAACCAAATAAATTTGTTTGTTTTTGTCTATCTCATAATTGTATAACGTAACTATCTTCCTGTCAGAAATGAATTAAGGTTAAAGCTTCATGTATGCTCTAACTTTTCATATTGTTATCATAAAAACTTCGAGTCGAATTGTAATTGTTATATAACTTCAAAAAGAATAGGTTCCTGAGTTGTGTTGGTGTCTATATGATTGAGCCATCGTTACGAAAGCGGTTGTGTTGTTTAGTTCTATTGCTGACTTATTAGCTTACATTGCATGTAGAATGACGACTAATTTTGCCAATAACATCGACTAATCAGCAACGATCGAGACCTTAATGTCTGTTGATCTTCGTGCTCCATCCAATCCAGTGTCCAACCAGAAGGCAAATATGACAGACATATGTCCACTCTTTTGTACTCTGTTCGTTCTTTAGTCAAAAATCAAACAGTAATATACCTTAAACACCTGACCACACAGCACACAAATAACAAATTGCAATATATACACCATTCAATCATAATTGATACAAAAACGGAGCTATAGGGAAATAATTAATTAGCAATAATTCTCGAACGATAAGACATGTAATAACAGTTTATATTTCTAACAAAAGCTTTCATATAGAAGAGTATGAAACTTTAAGAATTCAAGGGTATATAACTGTACAATCAAAGCATAAGTAATAACTTTTTGTACGATAGTTGTGAAACTTTAGTCTTTTTTAAATCTTTTTTCAATATAATTGTACTGAATTACTAGTACAAAATTAATTAGTCTGATAAGTAGGAAGTAATAAATTGATAGTAGTGATCAATGCTTGTATTTTTAATTTAAGTTCAGTTTTTGCTTTTATCTCTCTGTAGGTCTTACCACTTAATAATGACATTGTTTTTAGGATAATTATGGTTATTTTTGTAACGAGTATATCCTAGTCAACAGTAAAGTTTATTTAGTGATTTATGGAACTGATTATAGTACAAACAAAATATACAGTGGATACTTTTATTTCAGTGTTATACCAAACCTATCAGTCTTTACTGTTAATTTGATTCCATCTATTTCGGTGTTTTAGATATGTACTTTCAGTAATTATCATTCGAAAAGTTGTGCGTCAAAGTGAATCGCATAAAAACTACTGAAATTCAATCCCGACCGTTGTTGCTACCTTGACGTGGTGGTCGGGCTTGCCTATCGTGATGAAGCAACCGAGCTATACTGGCTGGAACAACCGTTCCTCAAGGTCCTACCATGTCAGACAGGTCGGTTGAAGAGCGGTAAGACTAAAAGCAACAAACCCAAGGTCCGAAGGCGAAGTCGTACTGCTGACTGTACAGAGGTGTGACAGCAGTAAGGTGTTTCCCTCGGACAACCAGCATAACAGCGATGCTGCCTTCCCACAAGGAGGGGTGGGGTTAGAAAAGGTCGACCCTAAAAATGCGCACCTCACCTTACCTCACGGATTTCCGTCTCCGGCGGTAAGGCTTTTTGAAGAACGGAGCTAACACGTCAAAAACCTTCCAAAAAAAGGTCGTGTGTGACCGGCCTCAAGCAGTTGCCCCTTGGGCACTGCGGTCACGCTCTCAGGTCACTGAGACCGCCTCTAATCCAATTTCCTTTTCAGGTACCTCCAGAAGAACCCTTCCACGGTGTGGGCAACCGGGAAGTGATAACCGCCCTCATACCTCTAACAGCACCCAAGACCACTGTATTCATAATCAACCTTCCTCTTCAATTCCTATTATTCCTCCTACATCGACTTTCAACCCTAAACTTCCTCCTTCGGCTTCCTCCTCAAGTGTCACCATAGCCAACGATTCTAGTGCTCAAAACTCTGTCCCAGGTCTACTGAAACCTCGCTCCAAACTACACATTGGAGCTTTCGACGTACGCACTCTATGTCAAATCGGTCAGCAGGCTTCCTTGGCTAAAACTTTAGAGTCTCTTTCCATTGATGTATGCTGTGTCTCCGAAACACGCATACAGGATTCCAGTGTGGTCATTCACTTGACCTCACCTCGGCAAAACGGAGAGCCAACGAGATACACCCTACGTGTATCTGGTGACCCGATGGCCAGTTCTCGTGGACTGGCAGGTGTAGGCATAGCACTAAGCATGAGGGCGGAACAAGCACTGCTAGAGTGGATCCCCGTCAACAGTCGCTTATGTGCTGTTCGGCTAAACGGCTCCGTAAGAACTCGGAAGGATAGGGACACACGTCGTTGCCTTTTCGTCGTTTCTGCCTACGCTCCCACTGACTGCAGCTCAGATGATGTGAAAGATGAATTTTACAGAAAGCTGTCCGAACTTCTTCAGAACGCTAAACGCTCAGACATAGTACTCGTAGGGGGTGACTTTAATGCTCAGATAGGTAGCTTAAACCAAACAGAAAGGCATTTAGGTGGATATTTTAGCATTCCGGCACAGCGAACAGATAATGGTGACCGTCTGCTGCAACTGTGCTCAGACAATCGCTTATTTTTAGCAAACACAAATTTTAAGCATAAGGAGAGACATCGTCTAACGTGGCGACCGCCTGCACCAAACCAGCGATGGACTCAAATAGACCATATTGCCATCAGTCATCGTTGGAGAGGGTCGGTACAAGATTGTCGCTCATTCTGGAGTACCTGCTTGGACTCCGACCACGCCCTAATACGGGGACGCATCTGCTTGCGCCTCACTGGACGCAAAAAAGCCACAGTAAAAAGACCCATTAGAACCGAACTGAGTAGCGAGGAAACCAAAAGTAGGTTCCAGGAACAACTGAGGTCACGATTAGGTAGTTCTGAAGACGAGGCTGACCCAGATGTTGCTTGGAAAGATATACAAGCAGCTGTGGAAGCAGCAGTGACATCTATTAGCGACTTAAACCACAGAGTTTCAAAGAACCAGTGGATTTCTTCAAAGTCTATCACACTGATGGATTCTCGCAAACTCGTCCCATCAGGTTCCGAACATGATGAAGAGCGACAACAAATCAGATCTAGGTTAAGAAAAAGTCTAAGAAACGACCGTGAGCAGTGGTGGGCAACGAAAGCAAAAGAGATGGAAAAGGCGGCGACTATAGGGAACACAAGACAGCTTTACAGACTAATAAAAGAAACTGGAATTAATAAGTCAAGTGTAAGTGAGATTATATCGGAAAAAGACGATACACTCATCTGCTCCCAGTCCAGGCGTTTAGAACGATGGGCGGAACATTTCAGAGAACAGTTCAACTGGCCTTCAGCTACTCTACAACTACCCTCCATTCCCAGACAGTGTGAATGGAACATTGAAGTAGGTCCCCCAACTCTTGCTGAAGTTCAAAAGGCTATAGTTAATCTGAAACGAGGAAGGGCAGCTGGTCCAGATGGATTGGCTCCAGAGGTCTTTAAGGATGGTGGGCCAATTTTAGCGATTAGGTTGACTAATATTTTAGCTAAAATCTGGGAGTTAGACGTTATTCCATCTAACTGGTCACAATCACTTATCGTCCCAATATATAAGAAAGGGTCAAAATCATCCTGTGACAACCACAGAGGGATTAGTCTAACTAATATAATATCTAAAATACTAGCCTCGATAATTATCAGACGCCTAACTAAGACTCGTGAACTGCAAACACGAGAGAACCAAGCTGGCTTTAGACCTGGTCGTGGCTGCACCGACCACTTATTCACCATTCGTCAGATTCTAGAACATAGGCATACTTATCGGCGTCCGACAATGGTGGTCTTTCTCGACTTAAAAGCAGCATTTGACTCGGTAGACCGCGAGATTCTGTGGCAGTGTCTGTCATTGAAAGGCGTACCCCAGAAGTACATAAACCTTGTGAAGGCTCTTTACTCGAACACTACTAGTCTAGTCAGAGCTTATGGCGAACTGTCATCTACTTTTGCAACTTCAAGTGGTGTTCGTCAAGGCTGTCCACTTTCCCCATTTTTGTTTAACTTCATCATAGATCTACTGATGGAAATAACTTTCTCGTCGACTGAGTTCTCGGGTATTGGTCTCCTACCAGGAGGTCCACTTATCGACTTAGAATACGCAGATGACATAGTCCTGTTTGGTGAAGACGCTGACAAAATGCAGAGTCTTCTGGTAGCACTGAGCAACAATGCCAGAATGTTTGGAATGCGCTTCTCTCCCTCTAAATGCAAGTTGTTGCTTCAGGACTGGTCTGCGTTAACACCTGAACTAAGGATAGGGAGTGAAGTAGTCGAACGCGTTGACAACTTCACTTATCTTGGAAGTCTGATCAGCCCTAATGGGTTGGTATCGGACGAAATCTCAGCACGGATTCGAAAAGCTCGATTGGCTTTTGCCAACTTGCGCCACCTATGGCGAAGGCGAGATATCCGTCTATCAATAAAAGGACGAGTATACTGCGCGGCAGTCCGTTCTGTTTTAATTTACGGCAGCGAAACATGGCCATTAAGAGTAGAAGACACTCGTAAGCTACTAGTATTTGACCACAGATGCCTTAGAAATATTGCTGGCGTCTGCTGGGATCACCGGGTAAGTAATAGTGAGGTTAGACGCAGGGTATTAGGGAATGATGGTAAATCAGTTGATGAGGTTATGAATCTTCATCGACTGAGATGGTTGGGTCACGTGTTACGTATGCCTGAATACCGATTACCACGACGTGCATTGCTATCCGGTATTGGAGATGGTTGGAAGAAAGTTAGGGGCGGCCAAACCAAAACGTGGCATCAGTGCTTGAAGTCACTAACTTCTAGTCTGAGCCATGTTGGTAGATGCAGACTACTTGGTTGGGGTCCGCGTGACTATTGTAACCAATGGTTGGAGACTCTTGGTGACATGGCTCAGAATCGATCACAATGGCGTCGGTGTATACACTCCCTGTCTTCCCTTAAACTAAGAGATTAAAATCGCTTCATATCTTTCTTTCTACGAACCAATTCTTTCTTCTTGTACTATATCTCTATATGCAATCTTTCTCTTACATATTACTACCTTTGACCTAACCACTTATATGAATCCGGTGTCCATCTTGTTGTGTTAATGAGGTATGGCAACTTGGACCGATGCACATATGTGCCTGGTCCTACGTTGTAGCTGACTGACTGAAATTCAATTAGATGAACGAAGAATATTCTTTTCAATGAATTCCTCATCAGGTTCTACAATTATAAATCCAAATTAATAATCCATAAAATTGGACAGATTTAAGGCAAAGAAAATCATTTAAAATTGTAACATGTGGATCAAGGATTGTTGTTTGTCATACAAAATGAAATCAAATCGTTAATGTTGGGACTGACTAATATGAAGTGTTAACTTTAATCAGTTTATAAGCGAAATGAAATTGTGTGATAAATGGTCAGAATATTAAATTTTTTATGTCTCTTTAGTCACTTTTGTTATTATTATTATTATTATTATTATTATTATTATTATTGCTAATTCAACTGTTGTTTATCGTCATGGAAATCGCATCATGGATTATCTATTGTAATTTAATATGTATCTTCATGTATTTTTCCACAGATTTTCTGCGCTTTGCTGTCGCAACATACAGAGTAACTTTAGCAGATGTTTGCCATAGAGCATCTACTTGCTTAGCTCAATTTGTTTTAGGAGGTAATTTATGGATTTCTAACTATGTATATGTATATAGTTGATTGGAATGTGGAGATTAATTCATTATCGAAAAGACTTTTGTAAAATAAATAAATAAATAAAATGTATCTCATTTGCCGACTGAGGGTATTATGTAACTGTCTTTGGGCCACATTGTATAATAGCCATTTGTACTGTAATGTGCGCTACTTATGCGGACAGACATAAGTAGTAGTAGACTGCTTGCTAGAAAAAGAGTGAAATGAAGAAAAGCAGGAAAACGGATAGCAACCGGAATAACAACAGGATCGGAAGAATGATGGAGTATGTGAAAGATAACTGAAGGAAGATATGCAAATGATTTATTTAATGTATGATTTTCATATTCTACATAGCTACTGTTTGAGTTTGCATAAAATAACGAATTAGTTTACCGTATATGGGTTTCCATTCACTACAATACTACTTGGCTGCCTAAACCGATGTAGTTGAGATGGAGTTCGGACCTGCAACCTACTGATTCAAATTGTTCTGCAGTGAAAACCATGTTTGGTCATGACAAATAATAAGCTAAGAGATATCACAAAATGTCACGTGACTTCATCTAAGGTATCACAAAGTCCCACCATCTGCTGTTTGGTTCTCCCTGATGTTGTGGAACAGATCTCTGAGCTGTTATATGGAAAGACTCGTGTTATTCTGATGGTACACATAAAGGAGATCAAACAATAAAGAAGGGAAGAATTGTAGTTAGAAGCGAGATAATGAGTTAAAATATCAAACGAAAGTCGATACGTCTAAGTTTATTGGTTTCAAGAGTATGAAAGTGTCACTCGCATCGAGTTCTAAAAATATTGATTCTAACATACACTACCTAATATTAATAAGTAGCACAAGGTGGTCCACAAAAAAGCAAAATGGGAAAATAAGTGTTGATCACTTTTTAAAATTCACCAAAAGACTCGCTTTCAAAACCCCACTTCAGATTATTTGTTTGCATTTACAATATAAATTTCCGATACAGGTTATTCACAATGTATACAGCTTATGGTTAATTGTCTAACATCTTAACTTTTTAATTGTTCACCTTACAAACTGTGAGTTTTTGGTATTCTCGTTCTTTAAGCTGGATGGTTAGTTAGAATATTCAAGCATTTCTTGATATGACAAAATTCAACTCTGAGACAAATGGAAAACGTTATTGGTGAAACAGCATATCACTCACGTATATCTATTTGAGTTTGGTGAATACTGAATTTGGTTAGAATCCGACGAGGAGAATCAGTTCTTTAAAATTATAGATATATATTGGTACCGATAACCTCTTATCACCTAACATACATCTGTGATTTCTACCTACAATTATATCCTACAATCCTTTTGGTTTTCTGTCACATAAACAAACGCAAAGTATTAAAGATACCACCGGTGTCTAAGTGTCACTTGTTTATGAGCAAAACGCTATTGAAACATCCTGCTGACGGGTACTTCCTATTTTCAGCTCACTAAATGCTGGATACACAATTTTAAAAGTATTTTGTACCGTCGAATCTTTATAGCGATGTAATAAGTGTGTTGTGTACCTATATGAGATAAGAGCGATATGCTTCAGTGCATAGGATCCGGTCAGATTATTTCACCTTAGGCGAATTATAGTTACTGATTGTAAGATCAATAATAGAATACTTTATTCATATTTATTTAGGATAAACGATGTAAATTTTATCAATGAGATGACTTATGAAACAATATCCTTGTTAGACCGTCATTATGGTATCTAAAAATAGTAATTATGTCATCACATTCAACACATTAACGCGTTTATTGCGTAATTATTCAGTCTGTTTCCTTTAAAATACCAACTTAACGACTGTAATTTAGCCAAGTTTAGATGTCTTGCTTTTGTTGGCCACTTTATCTATCTAGTGCGTCGATTTTAATGTTTGTTGTGATATAGTACACCTTTAATTTAAAGATGAATTGTCTCTATTCTTCAGCAAGTGGTGACTAGTAGAAACTGTGTACGTGTATACCTGTATTATTATTATTATTATTATTATTATTATTATTATTATTATCATTATTCAAACTTGTTAATCTCTTTATTCATCTAATACAGGTCGGTCTGTTGCGTTGGCTCATCGTCTACAGTCTTCATTCCCAGCGTTACCTAATGATTCTAACTTATTAACATCTTGTTCAACGGATGAAGCTCTTCTACTCACTTGTCATGGATCCGTAATGTATATACATGTTTTAGGAACAATTTTCCCAATGACTCATCCCCAGAATATTCCTTTAACTTCTAATCCTAATTTGACCCCGGGAGATTATCGTATACAAGCCTTCATTGATCAAATCTTACGCCCTTCTCGTCTGGCTCCGGCATCAGCTAGATTAAATTATTCAGTGTTTCCCAAAGAACGAGGTAGAGTACAGTCAGTTTTTCCTTAATACTGCCAGGTTTATATTAGTTTTAAAGGCAGTAAATAAGCCTTACCATCAGTCGACTTTAATTTGTCTTGTAGTTAAGATTAATAAACATATTCTTAACGACTTGGAGCATATACAGTTGGAATTTTATTTATTTGACTTGATTAGCTTCTTCATTCTCCTCCTCTTTAAATACTTTCAGAATCGAACGTATGATCTGAATTTGAAATCTTTCAGACTTAAATGGTAATGTCCTCAATGGACTAACACTTATTGTTGTGAAAATCCTAGATAAAGCACTTGTTGTTAGCGAAATTTTTGATTTTCAAATAATAATAGAAGAGTCATATACAAGTAGAATATCCCTTACTTAAAATAAAATGATGAACAACCCTGATCAATCCAATTTTTTCGACCAAAGTGAACTGATTGAGCTGTAGTCATCTGGCTTTCATCATTAAAATAAAATGTAGAATACTTTTAAATTATTTGTCATTTCGCTTAGGAATCACAGTTCTATTTTATGTCTCTTCACTTACAAGTGCCTTTAAATACTTCTGGCGTTCCTTATAAATACAAGAATAACTAAGATAAACGATTGATTTTTTAATATTCAGTCTTCATTCAATCAAATGTCACTAATTAGTATTTTTCATTTAGTCTAATCAAAAATACCAAGACATGGTGTCAGCTCATGAAGTCATTGACTGTTAGACTAAACCAGGTATAAGTAGGTGCAGAAAAAAAAATATATCAGTTCGTACATTCTCTATATTTGTTTACTCATCTTTACTCCACATCTGTACTCATGCATTTTACTGAGTAGATGGGTAAGAGGGTAAGGAATTACCGTCACTACTCACTGGATTATATCTCTTTTTTCATCTATTTTTAACGATACAATTTAATGCTTCTTAGTTTATTTTAATGTGCTAAATAATTATTTGATTATTCTTACATATACTAAATAGCCCAACAACATATTGAACGTCAAACACGGTATTGGCCACTTATGGAATCTCAAACATTACTGGACAAAACTAAGGTTAGTTAATGGAACTAATATCGTTGTAAGTTATTCCCAAGTATTGTCTGGTTATTTTATTTTTATGCTTAAACTTACCGACCATGCTGTTTCGAATTGATAATATTTGATTACTTTTTGTTTATTTATGACTACTGACTGGCTCAGCATAAAGTCTAGTGTATTATTTCTCAATTGTACCATTTAAAAAAACAACTTTGTCAGAGAAAAGCATAAAATGATAACGAAAATCCTGGGTACTAAAGAGAGTAAATGTGAATACAGTATAAATTTGCGACTAATTCATACTATCGATATAGTTTACAAGATTTGTTGTGTATCATTTCTAGACCTTATCTTTTTAATCTATGGACCACTAATGGCTTTATTTTCAACATAACACAGTGATTTTATGAATCGATATTGTAACCATCCTAACATAATACTCAAGCGATCCTATATTATGGTGTACAACGACAAAGTATTTGTAACAAACATATTACTCCGATGGGTTTTTAGTTATCAGTTGTTTTTTCCTGTATTGATACTCAACTATAAAGAATCATTGATTGGTTAACATACTTGATTGCGAACGTTTTACCACCAGTCTTGGTAATCTTCTTAGTGTCATGAGATATGTGTAAACAGTGTGAATATTTAACCATTATTTTGTTTATCTTGCTAATAAGTCTACACCGACAATTTCATTTGATTGTAAACATATTTTCAAATCAAGTGATTATTATTGGTTTGTTTAATGTTCTTCAAGCTTTGATATTTGATTATGAATGTTTCATGAACACTAGTCTCTAGTTAATCAGCCCCCCAAATGCCCTGGTACGGCCGAGAGTGGGGAGAGTCCGCTCTCCCTCTCGACATGCTCTCACATGGCCACGCGTATATAGCCTCTGCCAGGGAAGTCCTACTCATTGCCTTCTCGTGGCGGGGGTGTTGCTTACGAAATCGAGAGGACGAAAAGCGAATGTCTGGCGCTTTAACCGGATTCCAAACCAATCGTGTACATGGGCTCCAGTATCCTGTGGGAACAAATGGCGTATGAACCAATTGTTGATCACCGGCTTCCATGGGACTGCATCTCCTTACGATGCTCTACTGCCTTGTGGATCAGACCTTCAGGTCGAAGGCTCGGGGTGTGGCCCCCTAAGATAACCACCTGCTTCGGTTTGGGCACCCGGGCAGTATCACAGCCCTCATACATATCGAATGAGATTTGTGTGGCGCATATGTATTCGATACCTCCTTGTACCAATATCTATGTGTTAAAATAAATAAAACTCTGTAAACATCCAAGTAATTTAAATCTGCCATCATGTTATCTACGGTATTAATGCTGACAAATTCATTAAGTTCATGTTAATGAAACGTTAACGTATATATAAAGATCAGTGATCACAAAGCGATAATCTTTTCCATTCTAAACCACAAATCTTTAATAACCAAAAAAACTGACTAGTTAATACATACTGTGACGACGGACCACCGGTGAACTCGAGGAAGCTGTAAGAGGCTCAGAAGGAGCCGAAGACGTTCCATCCAATCACCTTTCGGAAGAATGTTCTAGAATTCCAACGTGTAGCTTCCCGATTGGATAATGCTAATAACCCCCTGTACGCGGATTGGAAGACTGTAATGATGATTTTGTTCTCACTAAAAACTATAAATACCTGACAATTTTGTACTATGTTTGACACTGTTTGGAATAATATTCCTTTCGTTAGTCTTCTGTCTTCTTATTGCGACTTGGAAGGGTTTGGTGTTCTAGTGCTCGGTTATACGCGGTAGTATCAAGAAAAATCAGCTTTTTCAAGTTATAACACATACAGTAGTAAAACTTATCTACAAATGATTATTCAGATAGTATTTCTAAATATTATGAAAAAAAATTTAATTAAAACTTTAATGTTACTAAACTTTCATCAATACACAATATATGTCTTCTAATTGACTTTATATGTTATTTGTTATGTCTATATGCAGTTGTATAATGTTTACACATTTTGTATTTTAATTAAGGTAATGATCAGACCTTGGTAAACTATATAGATTTAAAGATCTATTGAGTAAAGTACATTCAGTCTCTATGATCTAAGTAACCTGGATGATATTATTTTTAGTTAATCAGACTATATAATATGGAAAATGTGTATCATCGACTGACTAATTGACTTAAGACAGGGTAATTTTTGTATGTAGAATTTAATAGAGAATTATAAAATATAAATAAGTAATATGACCTATATATCATATTATGTATACTATCGATTTTATTTACACGTGAGTGGTCGAGGTGAGTGTTATGTAGAGCACCCAATGAAATGAATATTGTTATAATAACCGAAAATCAAACAGTAATAATAGATAATAGAGTATATTTTAGTGTGTCAGTAGACTTTTTGAGCAGAAAATCGTTTGTATTCTTTTAAAATAATTATTCTAGTTGAAAATAACCTACATGGGATGAAATATTCACTTGAAGTACTGCGGAGTTGTAGTAGTTGGTATTTTATCCATCAATTAGTTCAATCAGATATCGATTATTACAGTTTCATTCTTTAGCCTATTCAGTTATGAAACACCGAAGTTACGATTTGTTGATAATGAAGTTTATAAATCAAACATCTAATAAAAAGCAAACACTTTTATTATCATTGTCTTATTTTTAGCTAGCTGCTCCAATATTTGAAAATTTACCAAAAGAATACCTTGAACCTAGTGAAATATCTGCCTGTGAAGAATCTATAGTGAATGTTGTAAACTCTATTAAACAGTACGTTTGCCTGTCCGATTCTAGAAAGAACTCTTCTAAAAGGTAAGCTTTTGAGACTCATAGAGTTAATCTTTCGTTAGTGGGTTTATTTATGAACTTGTAATTATTTATCTTACTTAGATTGAGATAATAGAAAACACTTGCAGCTCAGGATGAGAGTTTTGAAGGTTTTGTGTTCACCAAGCTGAATGGCGTATTCTTAGTTAGATAATTTGTAATTTTTAGATACAGTGTAATGTGACTGTTCTACCAAGTTCAAACTAGACTGTTTTTGTGATGAGTAGTGATACTAACCAGCTGTCCAACCCGAATTATATGTAGCGAGATTTTAATTTTCAATTCATTGTTTAAAAGTCAAACATTTTAACTATTAAGTCACTTTTTCTCCGAAATGTAATGAAATAAACATTATTAACTATAACTCAACATAATCTTTAAAAATACCAAGTTGGTAGGAATCTATATATAGTTGTTAGAAATAAAAAAGTAATGACACTTCATTTGTAATGTAATAAATTAACTAGCTATTCATCACATAAGTATTTTCAGCCAAGGTATTGTTTATTCCTTCGCAATAAAATTAGATTGAATGCCTACCTTGAAGACAAAAATAAAGCAGTGGATTTTAAATTTCAGTAAAAACTTCGTATGACTCTTCTTTTTTTTGACGAAGAAAGTTTAGATTCAGATAGCTAACTGTTACAAAGTGAAGTATATAAAAGTTAAAAGTACTTATATTTGTCTTTTCCACTGTTCAACAGAAATCAGTATTTGTATTATTTTACAATGAGTATTGAAAAATCTACAGGGTAGTACAAGGGTTTAGATACAATAAAAAAAAATCATCGTTATGGTTTAAAATAGTTTGTATTCTAACACAATTTAGATTCTGAAAGAAATCAATGTCTTTTTTTTGTATAAGAGAGCTATAGTGTCAATAGTATTGATTATTTATTCTTCTTTCGTGGCTTTATTACATCATTATTTAGTGAATATAAAAAAATGATCTTTTGTTTTTCCAAAAAAAAATTAATTCTAGAGGATCATCATCTGGAACTTTGCCTGTTGCACCTGTACTTCAAGCAGAAGCAATTGTAATGGCAACTGAATTCGATTATATTCTTTCCTTATATAGTGATATATCAACTGAACATGAACAAATTCGAAATTATTGGATACGAACTATAAGTTCATCAAAAACGAATGACACATTAAATGGACTAAATCGTTTGTCAAGTGAAAATGACTTTAATTCATTAAATCTTACAGAAATGATTCGTCTAGCTAAAACAATAGCATATGATCAAACGAATATTGTTAATTCTACCATTCCTTTAGCACTTATAAAAATTATGAAAAGTTTAACAGTTCTATGTGAACGTCTCCATAGGCATACAGATTCTCATGATTCCAAATGTATCACTACGCAAATAAATCAAAAGTATGTGTGGTTTATTTAATTTTTACTAGTTTGATACCAGTTTCAAATTTATTTTGTATTATAGTAACTAATTTGGTATAGTATCAAAATTAAAAACCATATTAATCAGATATTAGTTTATTGGTATACAAAAAGGTTGACATGTTTTGCAAAAGCCTATCTAAATTACTTTCATAATTGGAGTTCTGAAATTGAATGGTTTTTTTTGGATAATCAAGTAATATCACTAGTATATAAACCTGTGTATGATTGGTGGATTGTCGGTGAATCAAAAGCTACATATATGATGAGTTTAATGTGAGCCTATACACTGTTTTTGTTAGCTTAATGAAGTTCATCAAAATCGGTCAGTCATAATCGGTAAACAGCCTGACGGAGATGGGAATGGCCAAGTCGTCATGCTAACTTAGCACTATAAGATAAAATTAACAAGATGAATAATAAAGTAGCCGGAATTACTGCAGTAACATTGACAGTCAGAAAGACTAAACACTGAGAATATGGTTCGAGAAGATGGAGTCTAAAGGTATGTCTGATGGGGTAATAAAACTCAAAATGTCGAAGAATAGTGGATGCATTTGACCCATTGTGTCCAATTACAAGTAGTGTTACTCAATCACTGGTCGTGCGGAACCTAACCAGGTAATTCGTATCTATCAACATGATTTTAATCCATGGTCAATGACTTCGTGAACTGATACTAATCTTCATTTTGATCATCTGTCAGTTTACTTCCAAGTTTTCTAGGCAACGTTGCACATCACTAAAATATCAACGACGTTTTTCATTCGAAGTATCAAGGCAAATGTCATTTTGTACTTTTTGATTAGTTCAGACGTCAAACTGACCAGATTTGTATTGCAGTTATGTGGCTGATTTTCAGTAATCCACATAGAATATATAATATTGTTTCGTATGTTATAGTGTTAATACCACTTCTTAGTTACTGTCGTAATAAAATTATGCATAGGGTAGATAGGTGAAGGTATAAATTCGTGGCTTCGAACAATTACTATTTTCTCTTATAGTACAATCCTTTTTTTCTTATTCACATTCAGATCTGCATGTAACCCGGTGCAATCGCCCAAGATGATGGCAATAGTTGAACCTGGTAAAATTTCTATTTTAACCTGTTTGACAATAAAATCCTTTTTATTCAATTTAAAAATGTTAGAAACTAGAGGTAGCAAAAGCTGTACATTTAGAAAGAAACAATGATTTTTTCAATACTTATAATGATAACAGTTCAAATTTTGAAAAATTCCCATATTGTGATTTAGAACAATATTGTTTTCGATTAGATCCTCATCAGGCTTTACTCTAATATACAATAAATATTTATATACATATACGAAACCATTAAACTAATCAAGACAGTTTATGAGTCAGTGATAACATCGTAATAGATCACGCAAAGAAACAAAATAACTAAGAAGCACAAATTGATAGTGTGATAACAGGTGTACTAGTTGTGATAAGAATAAGTAATCTACATACGCTTAGGAAGCTCGCTTCATTCTATCGATGCCACCTACCTACGCATGCGGTGTACTAGTTTATTTGTCGATTAGAAAACTAAATGGGATCGATTCATGAGATAATCAACTGTTAAACTGAACCTTATCGGAAGATCCAAAATTACTGACTACGCTTTTCGAACTAATGGTAATCAATGGTTTAAAAAGTCAAAATAGCTCTTAATCGATAACAGTGACTCAAGTGTATTAAATTTTCTTATGCTCGTGTAAATCTTACTAAAATTCTTTTTATTTGATTACAATTTCAGCTGATCGAACAAATTTCATTGATCGTTTAAAATCTGCAAAACGTCGACGTGTACAAACGCAGAAATTAGATTTTGTTGGTGTACTTACTGCAGATTCTAAAGGTTTATGTCAATTGTACAAAGGTTTAAAAGATAAAGAAAAATCTAATGTTTAGTTGTTTTCTGTTTGCTTCATTTAAAACAAGCAGCATATTTTCAGATTATGCTTTTGTTTCAATCTGTCCAATAGCCGGACGCGAGTGACTGATAAATTATGTTCTATGCTAGGAGCTCACAAAATTACTTTTGTGTACTAAAGAACACGGAGTGTTAGAAGCAAAGCAGAAAAAGTTAAGACTTGTAGACTACTCAGGGTCTAGGCTTCTGATTAGGAGTTGATATTTTCAAGAAACCCAAGCTTTTTCCCAAGAGAGAGATAGTAGTGAAACAGACCCAGTAAAAAATCAACTTTAGGAGTTCTAAGTAAGCTGTGCTGAAGGTCAAACACTCTTATACGTGATGTTGATTTATGTGGACAAATAATTTTACTCGAATAAAAAGCAACGGTTACATCAACAAGTTCCTCGCGCTGAGAATCATTATCAGTTGATGAGACTTTCCAGTGAAATATATTAAGTTTTATGGATCATACTTTTAAACATAGTTTGTAAAACTATGACTTCAAATTAAATTTAAGAATATTACTTATACGATATATTTCTAAAGGGTTGTGTCAATTATTAGTTTTGTATTAAATAGGTATTCTTCAACTAAAGTAAAAATCGAAATTGTGCAAGTCAGTCTGATCTGCAAATGAGATATATGTTGAGTAAATTACTAAATTGGTTTCACTTTAGATCACCACTGATATTTGTCTACATAATATTAGATTTTTAAGTACTTGATATTTCAAAAAGAGCTAATGAATTATTTTAAGTTACCGGTTTTACGTAATATAAATATTCAAATAATTATATATCTCACCAGAATCCATCATTTATAAAATACTTTGAAAATTACCTATCGGTTTAATAAATATTAGATGAGCACAAATTCTTAGTTGTTATTGGGAAACTGTCATTTGTACCATAAAATACAGAGACCTATTATAAATCTTTCGATAAACATTAATCTCTTCAAAGAGAGTTGACATCATCATGCCGATAGAGAAAAGGTGAAACAGCAATTTAATACTATTTATGCAAAACCTTCTTAATATTTATTTATTGGAAATAATAGTAAAAATGCTGTGTTACTGTTAGAATCAATTTAGTAACTCAAACATTGAAGTTTACGCAATTAAAATCTATGCAGGAATCACATAGCAGCAGAAACTTGATTAACGGTCAATGTATAATTACGTAAACTGATAAAACGAAACTACTTAATATTTCATAATAATACGATAACTGTTTAAAATTCATATTATAATAAATGAAGACTGTACATCTCTTAAATATTATAGAAATAGAAAGAATCGGTAGAAAAAATATTCGAGTTAATCAAATTTAATTGTAGACACTGGTACTACAACTAATATTCGTCCACCATCAGCAATACTGATAACATATGATCCACCAGTTCTTATTGGCATTTTCATACTGATAATTGGGGATAATTTTCCTTGTTCATCATTTCGATTAGTTATCAAGTATAATTCAGATGACTTGAACGATTCAAAGTCACCACCAGTAACACCAAGTGGAACTAATTCTTTTATCCATCGACGTAACAAAGCAGAGATATGTGAAGAATTTGAACTATTTGGATTTCTCATATTTACAGATGATGGGGGTAAAAGTTGAACTGAACGTTCATATTTAGCAGTCCATGGATTTACAACTCGTAGATAACTCTGAAAACAATGTATATTAGAAACAAGTATATTTTAGTGATAAAAAACAGCGGAACTTAAATAGTTACGTAAACTGATGTAGATGACGGAAAATTTTATAACCTGTTACTTAGTTATTAAATTCCTAAATCACTGTGCTTTTATTCGATAACACTTTAACTTCTTAAAGATACATCAAGATGATACAGGCAGACCATATTATCAAGTAGAGGAAAAGTAAAGACTATGCTGTTGTTAGACAACCACTAATTAGTAAATTGTAAGTGGTAAAATGTAAATGAGTTGGTTAATCAATCAGAGGACTGAAGTAAACACAATGGTCGAAGTACCATGCAGTGACCTTTATACACTTATAGAAAAAACACGGTATATATATATATATATATATATATATATATATATATATATTCTGCCACCAAAATGACAAGATTAGGGCTGGAATTTGAAATTGTGAATACATAAGATGCATTATTCAGTAAATTACTATAATAAATTAGGGCACTTCGTATCTGTATAGGCTGCATCACAACATGAAACTGGTGTATTCAGGTTTTAATGAGCTAGTGTTATTTATTTCTGAAACTGCATAGTTATGGTTGTTTATTCGTTTGTTTTCTACCGAATTACAAAAAACATCAACGACGGACTTCATATCGAAATGCCTTGACACAAATATTTTGATATGGTGGTGAAAGTTGTCACATCTACCACAGAGGTTCGCTTTTAAGAATATAGATCATGAGCAATTGAAGGAATTTACTAGCGTAATGGTATGGAAAAGAAGTTGGAATGGAACTATATTTAGTATCTAAGTTCTAGTTTAAAGGCCCTTTTTCTAAGGATCAAGGAGTTATATAGGATTCAGATTCAAATAGATCGTTAATTTTTCCCGCTATTGGAAACACAGTTGTTCCATAGACATTCATTCTTTCCAATCAGACGGTAAAGCTTGATATTTCAATTTAAATATAACAGGTGGAGCTGTCTTTGGATTCGTCGGAACATTTTGCTCTATATTCGTAAATACCAATCATATTTTGTTGTCGTGTAGGTGTTTACGAGACGATATAGTTTACCTATCCGTTTACTATATCTACTACCAAAACTATTTCATGTCATTGGCATCATAAAATAACAAATGGTTAGTACGCAAAATTTTCAACCAACGATTTTCCACCTTGATTTTAGTTTAAAATAAATTTGCGGTTATGAATAATAAAAAAAACAACTATACATGAATTTCGATACAGAGGTAGTGCGCATGAATAATGAAGCCTCATATTTAAAAGAAATTGTCACACTTTTTTGTCAGATAAAGTGATCTAATTAACGAAACAGTTATCGATCGTCTATAACTAAACCAAATATAGAACTGACAACAACAAATTTGTGGCATGATGTTCAAGGTTCATGTTATTGACTAAAGTATCCATTATCCTAACCACGCAAAAACATATTGTTGAGTGCGAAAGGATAAGGATTAGTTAATTATTTTCGCGACACGAGTTTGAACTGTGGAAACATTGTTGCTGTGCGATGATCATTTTATCCTCTCAACTAAGCTACTTCGGTCTTATTTTTTCGTGTTTCATCGATGGCATTTATTAAGAAATTCATTGGATGTGAAATCTCGACCCGATTCGGAGATAAATTATTTAGGTGTCAATCCGACGATTTAAACTAAGCTTTTTTTTAGTATGACTTGATATTGGTACATTTTCTTAAACTACGGAGCTCAATTGTTTGATATCATACACTAACAAGCACGAATGGTCGGTATAAAAAATAAGACAAATGAATATGATAACACTTAACTTATTCTCCAACAAAATCTATTTATAGCATGAATATTTACAAGAATTAAGATAAAATGTTTACTGACCTGATCACCAAAAACCACACGTCCATCAACGGATAGTAATAAACTGGACATGTTGAATGTTGATAAATTCTACAATAAAAAAAGTATACGTAATATAAATAGAAAGTATTCAAAGTACGGTATTATTTACAGAGTAAGAGTATATTTTATTAATCAGTATGATTAACTGTCAAGGCGATTTACAATTGATTGATCACTGTTTGGTGATCAGTGTCATCTGTGTCAGGTTGTTCTCAGTGCAGATCGAATCCTATCGACCAAGTTGCAATGTGGCTACTAGTCTAGGTGACTCGACATAGCGTGCACTATTTTGAGATAAGATGATGGTTGGAGGTAGTCAGCAGGAAACCCTGGACCTAGGTTTTGTGCTACTTGGCACTTGTCAAGCAAGGTGTACCTGTAATCTTGAGGGATGTGACTCGATCTGCACTGGGGAAGGACCTAACATACATGATGTTGATCACCAATCAGTGATCAATCAATTGTAAATAAATCTCAGTCCTACAAGAGATCAGTCGCGGCCTGGATAGCCAAGTGGTAACGCCTCTAACTGTGAAGCTGAGTGACATGGGATCGAATCCGTCAGGGAGTATCATTTCCCTCAAGATTACAGGTACACCTTGTTGACGAGCGCCAAGTAACACGAAATCTAGGTCCAGGGTTTCCTGTTGACTACCTCCAACCACCATCTTATGTCAAGACGATATTGATCTAATCATGTAAATGTATTTTATTACTAATTATTGACGTATGCACTAAGAATGCAATTTTATTGAACTGTCACATGGATATCGTCGACAGCTGATGAAATATTTGTAAAATTTATTTTGAAGAGAAAAAGTACAGAGATTCGATTGAGATAAAAGAGTTTGATTGTTTCCAAAGAACAGAAAGGTTTATCAGTGGGTAAATACATGTTAAATGTGAAATATATTTTTCAAATTTTACCGTAAATTGAGCAAACAGGTAGCTCGCTTAGCAAGAAATTGGCTTTTTTCACTCATAAAGTTTAGTTTTAGTAAAAGATTCCGGTAGTACGATATTTGTAGAGCTTCACGATATAATCTTTATATGAAATAAAGTATATATAAAAATTAGGAGTGAAAAATATTATATCGACCTTTTAAAAACTACTCATTATTATTACTGTCCATAACAGTTCGATAACACAGTACAAATTTGTGCACTTAACGTTGTGTCATAATACATTGTATATGTGATGAATTGTGATACCACTCGGCAGCTTAAACCCACCTAGAGTTACTTTCAAACACCACAGTTAAAAGTCGTTTTAAAAAAATAATTTTATGCCTGTACAGCATATTTTAAATATCAAAGCAATTTACTAGAGGTATGATAAGTTATTTGCGTTAAACAATCTATAGAACGCACAATATTAATGATTCTTAAACAAAGACTTCCCTTACGAAGTGGTGATT